AATCCTTCAGTTCACCAATCAGGCGCCAGCATGACGCTCCCTAAAGTCCGGACCCCCCTCACCCCCAGGGACAGCATCCAGCTGGTGAAGAAGCACTACAGCCAGCCGCAGCCCGGCCTGGACCGCCTGCACCAGCTCAACGTCAGCATCGACATCATGAGCCCCTCCTCCACCTGCTCCACCCTCAAGAGCTCGGGCACCTCGCCCTTCTCGCAGGTTGTGGAGGAGACGGACATTGATGATGGGCTCCCTGACAGCATGGACGGGGTGGTGGAGGGGTCTGGGTTGGAGGAGCTGTGCCGGGGGGGGGTCTCCTCCTCCGTGGGACTCCCAGACGAACAGGATCAGCTCGATCCTCCGCCAACACCTCCGTTACACCGCTTCCCTTCATGGGTATGAGTCTTGTTTGAGTCTTACATGCAAGCATGAGCAATATCTTTTTGTAGCTGTCACTGCCCGGAGCCTAGGATGTTTGAGAGATGAAGGTTGATACCGCTCTCATGTCTGTACAGTAAATATGAAGCGACCAGCAGTCAGTTAGCTTAGCTTAGCACATAGAGACATTTGCAATTTTAGAAACTACTACAAATATTCCCATCAATACCTTCTGTAACATTACAAATAGTTTTATTCACACAGATTTAACAAACAAGATATAATATGTAAATAAGTGAGTTGTATTGTAGAGGTGTGCTAACCAGCTGGTAGCAGTATAACTTCAGATTTACCATACCCCTATGAGAGCAATATCTATCGTACTGAAAACTGTGAACATTAGGGTATTTCCCGAAATGTTATTCCTTTAATGACGACATAATATTGTACCGTCTGAAAGTGTTTATATTGAATGTTTGAGTGGAGTGAGGGGGGAATATAACTGCCTTTGTTCTCTCTGCAGGAGAGTCGGATCTACGCTGTGGCAAAATCAGGAATGAGAGTATCAGAGGCGAGTCCTGGAGCCAGGGGCCCCGGGCGAGGTGAGTCCCCCACAGACTGAAACTAGCCACTCATTCACTTACATACACTTTCCTTTAACATCCATTTATTGTCCGTTTAATGCAAATAGAAAGAAAGAAAAAATAAGTTTATCATGTGTAAAGGCGAGTTTCTTTATACTGCATATTTCAACTAGACAATTACAATTCCTTAATTTAATATATTAAAAGCATTTCAAAAGAAAAACATTATTTAGGACATCTAAAGGACAATTAAAAAAGCCATTAAAGATCTAAGAATAAAGTAATTCAAACAAGCTAAAATAGATTAAGACCGTATAAAGCCGTGTATAACTCTGCATGAGCCTGGGTGGTGTAGAGAGGAGTCCCTACTCTGAAGTGACATGTCATTCAGCTGTGTGGTTGGTTTGGATCCGTCAGAGCCGCCTTTGATGTCACTTCCTCCGGCCAGAGGCTACACACACCTGCACAGGTGTGGGCCGCTCTCTCTTCAGGAGGCTCCGTTTATTTTCTTTAAAGAGGGGGGGGGATAAAGAGGGGCTGAGGGAGAAGCAGCTTTTTAATCAGCCGCGATGAAAGGAGGTGGTCTGGGTGTAATTACTGCGGTGCGTTCTGTCCCGACATCTTCTATTTTGTCAGGATGCAGACAGCGAGGTCTGACAGCTCTCTGACTGCCAAGTGGTTCATTCAGCCTCCTCTCATGTTTGTGCCTTAAGGTGCATCTGTCGGAGCGTTCAGATCTCAAATTGAATACAAAGGGCCAGATCTAAAAAAAGAATATGCTCAAGACTACTTATCTTTCAGTAACCCTCGTGTACTTTCCTCCTGCTGCAAATGTGTGGCACTCTGAGAGCCAAGACCTTCTCAAAGGCCAAATGCCCTGTCTTTCAATATCATTGAAAAAGAAATATAATTATTATATCCGCCTCCTGATTTTGATCCACCATAAAATCTAATGGGTTCTTACTTGGCCCATGTTACATAATTTCACCCACTTTCATGACAATTAGGCCGGTAGTTCTTCTGTTATCCTGCTTGGGAAACCAAAACCATTACCTCCTAGGTGGATGTCACTTCAAATAGATACATAAGATCTACTTTCTTTTTCCTCCTTAGCAGCTATTCAGACATAAAAATTACAATGGCATTTTTTTCCTTTCATTTTCATTTGTGACCACTACATTTGTGCTTTTAGTCACTTTGCAGATTTGGATTAAGGATGTGAAATATAATCAACAATTAAATAAGACTTCAGTTACACGGTACCTGGAGTAAGCTAAAACTAGCTACACCATTACTAAAATATATGTGTAAATATTTAAAATATTTAAAATATTTACACATTTTAAATATTGTAAACAAATGCTCTGCTATGTTTTGTGTAGATTTCATAAGAAAATAACAGTAAAAACATATACATTCTGAATTAAAAATGTGTATGTTGCAGGGTCCACTTTACCCCAATATCCAGCGGCAGGCCCGTTCACCCAGTTGATCTACAAGAATATCAATGTACCGGTCTACACCACACTGAAAGGGGTGAGTGAAATATTCTTGTTATTATTATATTATTGTTTTAGGTTGTGTTTTACTTAAAGGTCCCCTAGTATACTGTTTTTCATCAATATATTATAGCTCTCAGATATGTACAAAACATGTCTCTGAAGTGTTTGGCTCCAAACACCAAACAGATCATTGCAGCATCCCATAATCCCCTCTGTTTCAGCCCTGTTTCCAAAGTGCTGATTCTGTGTCTGTTACTTTAGATGAAAATAAGGAGCCCCTCCCCACGCCCCTCTGAGAGATATTTGGTTACAAAGAACTCAATGGTGCTCTAGGAGGAGATTCAGCTGATAAGGTGGGGGGGGGGGTTTACCTTGGTTGGTGATTGGCTAATGGTTACACAAGACAAAACATCGTTATGACATCATAAAGTGGCCAAAATCTGATCAGCTCATTTTCAGACAGGCTTTTATAGAAATGGATCAGGACAAAAAGAGAGAGAATCTTTTTTCCTCAAACTTTCAGAGTCTCTTTACACAGACGTGTTGATGTAGAAGAGACATGAACAAGTGGATTTTGCAGAATAGGTGACCTTTAATTCTACTCTTTCCGATGTTTGTTTCAGAAAGCCACTCAGATCAGCAGCGTTCCTCTGCCTGACGATGACTCCGGGTCTGAGGACGACAGCAGCTCTCTGGCCAGTTTACGCACCTCCATCCTGATCCCAGACAAGAAGGGCAGCGTCCCCGGGAGCCCCAGAGCCGCCAAGAGAGGTGAGGAGGAGCACAGGGCAGACCATTTCAGAGAGGGAAAACCACACAGCTTTAAAACGATTAGGGACAAAGCAGATAGTGAGATAAATCATTTTAGATCAAGTGCTAAAGGAGGGATGTTTGTGGAGAAGCTGAATAATTACAGTTCATGCTGCAAAGATGCATACTTGTAAATGAACACTTTTTCCTGCTATTAAAAAGCCCTTAACTATGGCTGTAGCTCAGGGGGTGGTTTTCCACCAATCGGAGGGTCGGTGGTTCTATCCCGACCTTTTTAGACATTTAAGTGTCTTTGGGCAAGATACTGAACACATGCTCCTGTAGGCATGGCCAAAGGTGTATGATCACTGTCTTTGGATAAAAGCTAAGTTAAATGTAAAATAATTTGTGACAGACTGAGCACCATTCTGCCCCATTATTTTGTATTCAAACAGAGAGATAACCAACACAGAATAGACAGAATTGTGTCTGCTCACCAGAATGGTATGCAGTTTGAAGAATCTGCATTGGAAGGACAGAAAGTACCAAGATACATTTGAAATCACTACCTGAATTAGAAGAAGGGAAAGCAGACTAGAGCACTCAGTATCTGCAGACATTCACAACTCAATGCAGAGTAACTGCAGGAATGCATTGAGCATCACGTACTGATGATATCTCAAAGTGACTTCACAGTCTGGATTTTCCATTTGGGAAACTTCTGTCTCAAACCTACTGCTCCCCGCTGGCTCTGAATCAAGAAATGTATATCATTTATTTTCTGTGTTTTATCCCTTGTTTGCTTTTTTAACTTTCTGTACCTTTACATATGCAATGTGCCTGTTTTCTTAGGTGTGTCCATGTCCTCCATCAGCTCAGAGAGCGATTATGCCATTCCTCCAGATGCATACTCCCTGGACAGCGACTACTCTGAACCAGAACACAAAGTCCAGCGGACCTCCTCCTACTCCTGCGAGAGCACTGGGCCTGTGAGTGGACTCCTTATTATTATTATTATTAAAATAAAGGGCCTTCAGCTGTCATTGCCGCAGTTTCACTTAACTTAATATTTGATGTCTTTTTTCTTCTGTACACAATATCGTACGTTGCATTGTTGGAGTAGCCTAAGACACAAGATTTTCGTTACAAAACTTTTGCTGTAGCTATTTTTTGCATGTGACAAATAAAGCCTTTGAATCTATATAAATAATGACCAGCAAACAATTTTAGTTCGGCAGATCTAGTGTGATCAGTCAGGTATGTTTGAATGACCTCTGAGCGGTCAGGTGTGTTTGAATGACCTCTGAGCAGTCAGGTGTGTTTGAATGACCTCTGAGCAGTCAGGTGTGTTTGAATGACCTCTGAGCAGTCAGGTGTGTTTGAATGACATCTGAGCAGTCAGGTGTGTTTGAATGACCTCTGAGCAGTCGGGTGTGTTTGAATGACCTCTGAGCAGTCAGGTGTGTTTGAATGACATCTGAGCAGTCAGGTGTGTTTGAATGACCTCTGAGCAGTCAGGTGTGTTTGAATGACATCTGAGCAGTCGGGTGTGTTTGAATGACCTCTGAGCAGTCAGGTGTGTTTGAATGACCTCTGAGCAGTCAGGTGCGTTTGAATGACCTCTGAGCAGTCAGGTGTGTTTGAATGACCTCTGAGCAGTCGGGTGTGTTTGAATGACCTCTGAGCAGTCAGGTGTGTTTGAATGACCTCTGAGCAGTCAGGTGTGTTTGAATGACCTCTGAGCAGTCAGGTGTGTTTGAATGACGTCTGAGCAGTCGGGTGTGTTTGAATGACCTCTGAGCTGTGTGTGTGTGTGTGTGTGCAGGAGATGCTGGAGAAGTCGGGGTACCTGCTGAAGATGGGCAGTCAGGTGAAGGCCTGGAAACGCCGCTGGTTCATCCTGAGGAACGGAGAGATCCTCTACTACAAATCTCCTGTGAGTGTGAGCCGGCTGCTGCTTCCTTCTAGGGATTTGCTGTCTGCACAGAAAAACATTGCACGAATATTTCAGCATGTTGTGTGTTTGCGTGTACGTTGGCTGCAGCTGAAATACCCATGTACATCACTGTTATTACAAACTTTGTGATTGGATTCATACAAATAATTTTGGACAGAAGTTAAGTTTCTTGTGTATTTGTGTGTGTTTTTAGAGTGACGTGATCAGGAAACCTCAGGGTCAGATCGAGCTGAACTCGTCCTGCAGTATAGTCCGGGGAGAAGGAGCTCAGACATTTCAAGTAAGTGGAAAACAAACCTTAAATCATGAGAAGACTATCCAAACAGTTCTTGAAGTTGTGTAAGAACACTTTAAGACGGAGGGTATGAATTACGCTGCACCCTGCTACAGGTTATGTAAAGAATTACAATAGTAGTTTTTATAGATTTACGATATATATAATGTCAGCATGAGTTGTAAGTGGACACACACAGCTTCACACACCCCAGCACTCTTATTATAGCGCTGCATCACAGTGGAGCTTTACTGCTGCATACCAGAGGAGCAGCTTAAAATGACATCAGGTATAGCGTTGGTCTGGAATGTTTCCCTGGATGCTGATTCTCATCTCCTCTGACACGATGATACTATCTCAGTCTCGGGCTCGGCTGAAGCATTTTTCCCATATTTCTCCCTTTTTTCGTCCACTCAGCTGATCACAGAGAAGAAGACCTTCTATCTGACCGCCGACTCTCCCAACATCCTGGAGGAGTGGATCCGGGTCCTGCAGAACATCCTCAGAGTCCAGGCCAGCAGCCCCGTTACCGTGGAGACCACCACCACCAGGCCCACTGTGAGGGGCTGGCTCACAAAGGTCAGTTAGAGACCCTGAAACGTTGGTATTGCATACAGTAAGTGATATCAAATGAAAATATTCCTTTGAGAAGGAAGTTGAGAAGTTTGCTTAAAAAGTGACTTTATCGATGAATAGATTATAAACAAAAACAATTCTGCTAATTGAAAAACTGATTTTTATAGCTCAAGTTTTTATAGCATTTGAAAACACTTAAATTCAGACTTGCTACAATAATGTTTCCCTACAAAGTCACTTGTTTCACAGTTTTTACTGAAATAATGTATTTAACTTTACCTGGTTTTTAGCTGGTCTGTTACTCTAGGTGAATAGTCCTTACTGATATTCACTTCCATTGCATGAGGTATAGATTAGCCAGCTGAAGAGGATGGCGGAAAGAACTCATTTTCAGCCCCAACGTCTCTTTCAGACAGATATAGAAGTGTCTGTCGTCGGAGTGGGGAGGGTTTGACGGAGCACTTGAAGCAGATTCTTGAAAACCTCCTTCACGTTGGGACACGGTTGTTAGGCCTGAGCTGCTGGAATGCTTGAGACCTCCTTCCCTTCCTCCCTCCTCTGCTCCCTGCCTTCCCTTATCCTCCCGTCTGTTGGTTAACTTAAGACACTTAAACATCTGACGGGTGTGAGTGATGGGTCTCTGACGGATGACTGACAGCCTCTCACCAAACCCCAAATCCCTTCCTGAGAGTGGTCTTTGATCTTCTGCTCATGACGTGATCTCCGTTCAGACAGGACTCTCAGCGCTGCTGACCCTCTGAGGTCACAGCTGGCTCTGGGTCCACGGCATCCACAAGTGACGACATTCACATTTCTTAAACTCTCTGAAAGAGGACTGTTGCTGAAAGTGATGTTCCATGATCACCCAAAGCTGCATTCCTGGTTAAAGGAACTCAATTATGCTCATTTTCAAAATCATATCAGTTTGTTGGCCTCTACTGGGACATGTCTCCATGCTTTGATGTTCAAAAAGCTCTTCATTTGTCTCATACTGCCTGTGCTGCAGCACCTCTTTTCACCCTCTGTCTGAAACCAGAGCACAGTCTGCTTTGATTGGTCAACCGCTTAGAGATGTCCCGCCCCTTAGCCCAACACGTACAATGTTTTGGAGTGCTAGCCAATAGGTTTACCTCCATAACATAGTGATGTCACTTTGTTATGGAGGTAAAGAAAGGTGTCCAATGGAGGTTTTTCAGGCAGGGGGGGGAGATTTTCAAGGTTCAAGGCTTTTATTAGTCATACGTACATAGCTACAGTGTAGTTATGACGATGAAAATCTTAGGTCAAAGAGAAAACTCTCTCTGGAGGGAACACAGGGATTGTAGCCTTTGCAGACCATATACATGCACAAAAAACCTATATAACACACTACAGGGAAGGTGTGCGAGTGTGGATATGAAGTTAGCTGTCTCACATACTTTACTGGACGCTCCTGGGACATCTGCTGATCAGATGTGGACTAACATCTGTCTAGCTTTTCTAAATGTCTTTTGTCTCAGTTTCAAAGGATACAAAACAATAAAAGCACGAGTCATGTTTTTGCTTCTGTTTGGAAAATCGGCCAGGTAGAGTTGGGGCTTTTTGTCTGATACTTTTCTCATACCATTGTCTGATTTCTTGTCTCAGGTCAAACACGGACACTCTAAGCTGGTGTGGTGTTCTTTGGTTGGAAAATCCTTCTACTACTATCGTAATCAGGAAGACAAGGTATATAACTCCTTTCTCATAACATGCCACGCTTGCTTTTCATTTTGTCTTTTTTTTTACTATTTGAAAACCTTCCTCAGAAAAGATTTTGTAAATAAATACTTGTTAGTGGTTTTCTTGATCTGCACAGAATAATAGGTTTTTCACAATAGAGGACCGGTGGTTACAGCTTTTGCTTATACAAGAGAAATAAGGTGTTATTATGTCAGTGTAACTATTTTTACGTAAAAATAAAATGTATGTAAAAATGTGATTACTGGCTGCTAACACAGTACTTTTACTTGTATCACTGCTACTCATTGCTAATACACAGTTGCAAGAAAAAGTATGTGAACCCTTTGGAATTACCTGGATTTCTGAGTCACAACAATAGACAAACACAGTCTGCTTAAACTAATACCACACAAACAATTATATGTTTTCATGTTTTTATTGAACACACCATGTAAACATTCACAGTGCAGGGTGGAAAAAGTATGTGAACCCCTAGGCTAAAGACTTCTTCAAGAGCTAATTGGAGTCAGGAGTCAGCCAACCTGGAGTCCAATCAATGAGACGAGATTGGAGGTGTTGGTTAAAGCTGCCCTGCCCTATAAAAAATACACACCAGTTTTGAATTTGCTATTCTTAAGAAGCATTGCCAGATGTGAACCATGCCTCGCACCAAAGAGCTCTCAGAAGATCTACGATTAAGAATTGTTGACTTGCATAAAGCTGGAAAGGGTTACAAAAGTATCTCTAAAAGCCTTGATGTTCATCAGTCCACGGTAAGACACATTGTCTATAAATGGAGAAAGTTCAGCACTGTTGCTACTCTCCCTAGGAGTGGCCGCCCTGTAAAGATGAATCCTAGAGTGTCAGCTAGAGACTTAAAGAAATCTCTGGCACATGCTAACATCTCTGTTGACGAATCTACGATACGTAAAACACTGAACAAGAATGGAGTTCATGGGAGGACACCACGGAGGAAGCCACTGCTGTCCAGAAAAAACATTGCTGCACGTTTGAAGTTTGCAAAAGAGCACCTGGATGTTCCACAGCACTACTGGCAACATATTCTGTGGACAAATGAAACCAAAGTTGAGTTGTTTGGAAGGAACACACAACGCTATGTGTGGAGAATCCAAAGGGTTCACATACTTTTTCTTGCAACTGTAATTAATGTGAACCAATTTTGATGTGAATGTTTGCTTACCTCTGTGTTTATATATCTGGCCTAAATCTTTGCTGAAACAATGTAAAGATTGTTGGATAACAGAATTTCTGATTGTGATTGAGCTTGTTCCTTTACTTCCACACGTTGTTTTATCTTAGTTCCCACTACTTTAATTCCCTGTTTACTGATTTACTTTGTTCCTCTCAGTTGCCTCTGGGTCAGCTGCAGATACGCTCCGCCTCCGTACAGGAAGTGGATCGCTCCTGTGACTCGGATGAGGACTATGAATCCGGCAATCGAGGATTCCTCTCCTCACACTGCACCTTAGTGGTCCAACCCCGAGACCAGAGTCCTACATACCTGCTCATCGGCACCAAGCAGGAGAAGGTAATGTTGCATTAATGTCATGGATATATAGGGAGATGTGAGCATCCTCAGGCATGGGGTTGATTAAAGACGTCATGCTTTGTTTCCCCACTCAGGACACATGGCTGTATCACCTGACAGTGGCTGCCGGCAGCTGTGCAAACTTTAAAGTGGGAACAGAGTACGAGCAGCTGATCGGTAAACTCCTCGATGCAGAGGGAGACCCAGGTGAGAAATCATATGTCATGTATATTAATGTATAAGCAATGAGAAGCTACTTTGATCTATTATATTACTAAGTAACTAATTAACTGGTCAAACCATATTTACACGCCCTCAAGTAAAGTGATTAATATGCACCAATATTAAAACCTAGCCGTACTTATTTAGTTTGCCTTTAAGCAATAAAGTATAAGTAAATCAGGTTTAAACATCTTAAATCATCCTGTGAAATAACCACCAGTTGTGTGTTTTAATTCTCCATCTTTAAAAGCTACAACGTCACACAAAAAATACATTATAGCACAACCTCAGCGTCCTCAGTTGTAGCTTTGATGCTGAACTAAAAGTGACATTAAAAGTAATTTATAACTGTTGGTACAGAGTACATAAAAACATTTCATCACATTTGAACACTGCATATCATAGAGTCAGCACTGGAGATATGTATAACCCTCACACACAGTAGATGTGTAGTAGACTGAAAGGCTTTACGCTCTCTCTATAAGTGGAGACAAATGCAGTCAGTAGCATGCTCCGTGTTATTTTGATCCGCTCCGTGTGACGGTCTTAATCCACGCTGCAGACTGTGTTTACGACGGCAGCGCAGTGTGTGTGAATTTGAGATTTTCAGCTGTCCCGAGTCATTACGGCTTTGAAACTCAATCTTTGTGTTTGTCTGTGCCTGTGTGTGTGTGTGTTTTCAATGTGTGTGCTTCTCCTTCTTTTCCCAGAATCCTCCTTGTGGAAGAGCGAGGCCTTGAGCTTCTGTAAGGAGGGTCTGCACTCGCCTCTCAGCACTCTGCCCTCTGAAGCTCTGCAGACTGAAGCTCTCAAGCTATTCAAGGTCCGTCTCTCCACCTCCCCCCCCCCCCTCCTTCTGTCTCTCTCTTGCTATTCCATTTCCTTTCATACCTTTCTCCGGATCCCTCTCTCCTCTTCTGTGAGAGTCTGCGCAAGGCATCATCCAGCCTCCCTCCCATTACCCCCTCTTCTCCTGGATGCGCTCTATGACCCTCTTCCTCTCCTCCCTCCCGCCTCAAAAGCAGATCAAAGGCTTGAGGACGAGGGCCCCAGCTCATTAAAAGTGTGGAAGAGAGATAATGGTCTTGATTATCTGCTCTGATTGAGGCTAACCGGTCCTCCGGTTGACAGGCAGTGTGAAAGGCAACCCTTTAAAGAGGAGACATGGGGGGTCAGGGTCCTCAGAGTGGCAGATATGGAAATGGAAGCTACAGGACGGGGGAGGAGAAATAAGATCAGAGCAGAACAGGGACCTTGTAGGAAAGATGCTAGATCCTTTTCCTCTTTTTTCAACTCTGTGGCCCTCAGTGCGCCCACCCAGGAGCCCCTCCCCCCCCACCCCCACTGCAGACGCTCCACTATGGGATGGAAAGTTGAATGGATCGGCTCTCTCTTTGACCAGCCAGCCTTAAAAACAGACCCAACACACACAAAGAGACACAGTGAATGGGAGTGACACACTTTTCAAGTCTAGGGACTTTGAAGTATTAATGAATCTGACGAGTTGGTTCTTTTGTCTTCAACTGTCCCACTGGATAAAGACAAATAATAATGACATACACATTAGGGCTCATACTGACCTCATATCATGTGTTTTTGTTGGTTTATCATCACCTGGAGTTTTAGGGTTAGGGTTATTTTAAGATGCAAACTCTTAGTCTCCGGTGTGTACTTGCCTCCCCCTGCTGGTAGATTCAAAGGAGATTCTAAGGTTTTATTGTCATGTATAAAGTGACACGATAATGCAACTTAAATGCAGAAATTAGTGATGACTATCTTAATGTAAAATCAAATGACAGAATGTTGAATTCATTACTCTACAGTATATATTTTAATAATTAGGACTAAACAGTTAGTGCTCTGGAAGTTGGTGTCAGATGTAAAATATTAAGAAGTATTTTCATCTCTGCAGTCCTGTCAGCTCTTCATCAACGTCCTGGCTGAGTCTCCTTCAGTCGAC